TTAATAGTGAGTTCTCTCTGTCACAGAACTGGGAATTTTCTTCAGTATATACATCTGTAGGCCAGTCACATATGAAAACAATAACCAAGGAATAAGAAAAAGTCAATAAGGAGATTTATATACAGCTGCTATTAAACTGGAGGAAAACAAATGATCTGTTGGGGTCAGTTTCTCTGGGAAATCAATTTGAGCAGAGTTTTATTGTCCTCTCTGCTAGATCTTTCATGTTATTTGCTTCCACCTTTAATAGTTGTGAGTGAGGAGGGTTTTACACTTGTGAGCCTAAGCTCCCCGGATCATTGCATTCGTTACCTTTTCAACATCCACATTCCCAGTTGTCACAAATGCTACCTAACAGCACTGAGCACTCAGAATACATTTCCCCTTGTAACTCCAGGGAGCTTTGAGTGTTCATATTAACTGCTTAAACTAGTCATAAACCAGTTAGACTGTAGTACCCGTGCAATAGTAACCACTTGATTCATAAATGTCTCTATGTACATTGTATATGACTACTGAGAATACAGACCTTTTCTTGAGGAAAAAAAAATTGGCATAACCTCTCCATGCATGGCCACACAAGCCTCATGTTAGTTGTAAAGCAAACAAACAAAAAAAACCCCACCAACCAACTTTTTTCAGTGAGGAGCACTAAAACATTACTCAGAACATCAATAAAAATGTAAATAAATGGAGCCCTATGATCAGCAGAATTTATCCAACCATCACTGAAATGCTATTCACTCAGCTTTTTAGTCTAGAAGAGTATTCTCCTTAAGTTTTGCTTTGAAATATACATTTTCTAAATGATAATCAATTCAACTTAGTACTGAAGATGATGCTTTAACGTAATGTCTAAAAATTTCTATTTACAAAAAAAAAAAACTTCACAGTAATTTTTACCATCCTGTCACAGCAAGCTCATTTTTCTCAATTATAGTGGCAGCCACTTAGAAGATCTGTTCCAGCATTCTATTTTTGCACAATCTAATTTTTTTCTCAATTTTAAGAAAGGAAGATCCTGGAATTGCAATAAAAAAATGGCATTTGAAATATGAAGTAGTTCTACTCGCTTCCGTAGCCTGATTTTCACTCCACTTTCATCTTACTGTACTTATTTAATGGTCTTTAGGAAACAGGAGATCTTCATCTCTCTATTCATCCAAAAGACAGCATTGCTCTTAGTGATATCTTCATTGGTCAGTGATTTATCATGTTAAATTTCTTCAGCTTGTCTCTTTGCTGGAATTTCAATCTCTTCTGAAGATTGGTGATAAAACACAGTGACTGAAGAATTCTGGTGAGAAGGGAAGATTAGCTGTGTTGCAAAATGGAAATTAAGGCTGACATCTACTTTGAACCAGAAATGGTTGCTCTGAGATTAAAAAAGTTCTCTGGACTTGATGGGAGGTAGTCTATTTCTGCTTTGCAGGATATGTTCAAGTACTTGAGGGGAACAAAAGAAAGAACTATGAAAGTGAGTATATTTCAAAATATACATTTTTAAGATACTGTTTATATGGTGTTGATTGGTTGGTTGTTTTTTTTGTTTTGTTTTGTTTTGTTTTTTTTACAGTGTATTCTAGGGATGTGTACAAAAAATAATTGGTCATTCCTCCTAGATGCATCACAGACTTGAGCTGGGGCCTTGGTGGCTAATGCACTAATGTTAGCTTGTGACTATTTCCATGCATGGCAATACATATATAGAGGTTACTTTCACTTTTACTGCACATTAAATCCATTGATTGCTTTCTTGCACTAGGGTTGAGGACTTCTAACACTTTCAAACGTGCCTATCCAACAGATACAGCAAAAAAATAAAAACAAAAAAATGTTTGCATTGAGATTAAACAGTTCAGATTCTTCAGACCAGCAAAGGAAGCTTGCACCAAGTGCTGTGCAGGTCATTTTTGCATTCTCTCTCATCTTGTTCAAACCAGAGAATAACTGGCACATGTTCCTCCATTGATCTGATGTATTAATGGAGGAGTTAGAACTACACATGGACAAAAGAAACTTTTCAGTAGATACATGGGCTGTGCAGGGCAACAGGTGCTGTAGAAGAGTTAGGTCACATCCATCTCAGCTTGCAGCAGAGCCTGATAAGGCAAAGGCCAGGCTGGCTGCTGGGAGAGACTCCTGTGAAGGCTATCCTCTGTGGATCTCTGTTTCCTACAACACATAGGAAGGGACTATAGTCAGCTATTGCATGTGAAGTCCAGTGTGCACAAACAGGTGTTGGGAACAGCCAGAAGATGATGAAACTCATTCCCAAATGTTGGTTCTTTACTTTCCAAATCATGTGTGCTTCAAAATTAAAATGCTCAGGTAGTATGTAAAATAAGATAATAGATAATAAGATAAGGTAATAAGATGAAGGAAAGAAAATATACAAGATGGTTATGAAATTAATAATAAATTACAAACAAGTATCTTCCATTCTGGATAAAATGATGTGATATGTCCTCTAAAATTAGGTAGTCAACCACAAAAACAGTTGAAGAAACCTTTCCTTTGTACACTGACGCGTACTTAAAACTAAGTAACCTCTGTAATGTGCATAATTAAGATATTGTTTTAAAGAGATTTGGATATATATCTATTTTTTTATGTATGGATTTATATATCTAATTTCCATAGCTCAGTGGTTCAGCATCTGGCAGAGTTCATCGCTATGCTGCAGAAACCAGGTGTTCTCAATTCGTGGGATTGAAGGTCCCTGAAACTTTTTGTTCTCTGGGATCATCAGTCTCCCCTCCATTCTCCCATGCCCTGGGATGCTGTCTCTTTCAGACACTGCGTGTGTGCAGTTTCTAAGCAGCTTTGGGATCAGGAGAGGTATATGAATCTTTTATAATGTTATTGATTATGGTAGAGCAGACGCTTTTTTAGTGAGCTGCTGTGAGATAAGTTACTGGTAGCATCTGCTACGATGTGTATAAATTAGCTCAAAATAATTAATACTCTGCAAGTTTTTTTAAGGCACATCTGTATTGGCGCATATAAGAATATTCCTGCTTGCACCAAGAGTGCATTACAGCCCAAATTACTGTAATTTATTAGGGGAAAAGCCATTTCTTTTAATCATATATTAATTATTCATAAAAACTGTATTAATGTTACCTTAATGGGAAGTGTTACCAGCTGGGATACGAGGCTTGGCACTCTGTTCAAACACAAAAATAGATGAATAGCTTGACTTAAAAAGAAGACATAAAAATGACTTACAAGAGCATGAGAGCACCAGACATGGGCCTATGAGTTAGCATGGAGCTGGCTATGGCAGAGAAGCCCAACCAACTCATCCCTTGCATTTTGGCTTCAGCACTGATTCGTGCCTGGTTGCAATCCAAGTGGAATTGCTGGAGGATGTTCATTAGAAGCTGATCCTCTGTTCTCAGTGCAAGTGCTTTGCAGCTCTTCAGCCAGCATGGAGCTGGTGAGATTATATAAAATCAAGAGACTATTTCCCTCACACTTTAGAAAAATAAATAAAATATGACTTAAATAATTGAAATTCAAGATAAATTCTTCCTGCTGGGGAAGCAAAAGGGATTTTTGCAATATTTTAATCTTGTGAACCACGTGATATGTGAAAGAGCTGTCCAGAGAATGAGTTTCAGCCCAGAAGTGATGTGAAAGTGTGTACATACAAATGCTTGTGTGAATAGATGCAGTTCTCTAGATGTTCTGCTCAGTTAAAGGAAGCTATCAGCATTTAGATTACAATGCAAGAGTAGAAGGCACATTTCAGTGGAATTTTATCAAAACCAAACACAGCATGAGTTTTCCAAAAATTAACTAGAGCTCCTTCTTTTTTTTTTTTTTTTTTTTCCCCTGGCTCTCAAAAGATCTATTTTCGGGAAGGAAAATACAGACACAAAGGACACTGGGTAAAGCATGCAAATATGTAATGCCTATATGTAATGCCTATGAAGTGCAACTAGTTTTATATGAACAATAAAACTTCATAGGATTCCGCTGAAATTAAATTGTTTAGATCAACCAGAGTCTTTTTATTGGGATAGCACAATGTGAACTTATAAACACATTTGTTTTACGTGGTAAGATAAAAGGCTGTTTGTTTGTAAAAGTTTTTTTTTTTTTTAATGACAGTTACAACCTTTAATGTGTGATCTATAAGTTATCATCTGGTGAATTTTGGCCAAAACCATGGAAGAGAGGCATTTGAAGTGGGAAACCAACTGAAAACAAGTGGGGGAAAAAATAGAGCTTGCATAACTCTCAGTCTAGGAAACTTATGGCTTGGAGCAACCCAGAAAGCTGGGTGGTCTGGAGATGAACCCATGTTAAAGTATCTTAGGTAATTATGACTTTTTTCCATGACGTTGATAGTTTTGGGGGTTGGTGAGTCTTTGACATGCAGTCAGTTGTCATGCCTAACCATGATTAATATGGATCAGAAATGAGGTAGTTCTGCAGTTAAGGTGTTTTTTTTTCTTCAAATTTCATTTTCATAGCAATAGAATATAGGAAAAGCATATATGGGAGCAATTTGTATCTGGAGAACTTACCAAGTCATGTCTGCAGGAAGCTGGTGGTTGTTACTAGGAGTACATTGTGTATCCCAGGACTGTGTTACAATTACAATCGAGTATGAAAGCAGGATCAGGGTTCTGCAGTCTTGAAATAATAATACTTCAGCATTGTAAAAAAATAGGTAGTATTGTTGTTTTGTTCTCTTTTTCAGTACATCAGATGTATTTCACTGCTTACACTGTAGTAGCAGATTGAAACCATCTGCTGCCTTGCCACTACTCTAACAGCAAATCTCAGCTCATTTTCCTTGAGGCCAGTGTGCTGTAAGGCATGCGTACCAGGACAATAATCCAGCTGCTGAATGTTGATACAAGTCCAGACCTATGTTCATGAGTCTTTTAAATGGAAACAGTTCTCTTTGCCAAGGATTGGAAAGGAGATAAAACCAGTTTGCTTTTCTCTCCTCCCTGCTCCCCCCATCTATCCCCTTTCTACAGCACCATCCCCCATCACAGTGATAAGGAAAGACCGGACATCCAGGAACAGCGTGTCTCTGTCTTGGCAGGAACCTGAGCACCCAAATGGAATCATCTTGGACTACGAGGTCAAATACTATGAAAAGGTGGGAAGATCTCTGAAGGGGAGGTTTTTATGCTGGTAATGTGGTAATGAAGTTATTCTGTCTTGCGTACGCTAATGGTCCAGACGCCCTTACTAATTCACTGCATGCCACAACAGAGAGCGTGGTATGGGAGTGGGAGAGGGGTTTTTCAATATTAAGTTCAAATCTAGGATTTGTTAATGGGATTTTATCCACTGATATTTTCAAGAGGGTGGAAAGAATTGGTAATAGCAATTTAAATTATGGACAAAATTACAGAGTAATGGGAAGGGACCCCTGGAGATCATCAGGTCTGACTTCCCCTGCTAAAGCATGTTCCTTACAGCATGTCACACAGGAAAGCATCCAGATGTATCTGGAATATCTCCAGAGAAGGATACTCCACAACCTCTCTGAGCAGCCTGTTCCAGGGCTCTGTCACTATCACTGTAAAGTTCTTTCTCATGTTCAGATGGAACTTCTCATGTTCTAGATTGTGCCCATTGCCCCTTGTCCTATCATCGGGTGCCACCAAAAAGAGCTCAGCCCCATCCACTTGACTTCTGCCCTTCAGATATTTGTAAATGTTGATAAGATCCCTTCTCAAGCTTCTCTTCTCCAAGCTGAACAGTCCCATGTCTCTCAGCCTTTCCTTGTACAGGAAATTCTCCAGGTCCCTCATCATCTTTGTGGCCCTCTGATGGACTCTCTCTAAAAGTACCCTGTCTTCCTTGAATTGAGGAGCACAGAACTGATGCAGGAGCCCAGAACTGGACAAAGTTCAGTTATGCTGTCAATATTCATAGAGTAATTTGTCATCCTTGCATTAGTGCTTCCCTCTGGTACAAAGGTGATTTGGAAGGAGATGGACTAGGCTTTTAGTGACTGCTTTGCACTGTAAAAGTTCCCACTTTTCATGAATAACTGAATTCTTTATACATTGATTAGATAAATCAAAGAGAATCTGTCATTAAAGATGTTCTACCTTGTGTTGGCATTTTGTTGAACTTATGCTGTTGATTACTACATCATATAAACATTTAGTAAATCTGCATAATCTAGTGTTTTGTTGGTTTTGTTTTTTTCTAACCTTTCTGGTAGCGTCAAAAAGACCATAAATTTATGCAAAGATTGTGGAGAATGGTATTGGCTATTTTTAGATCAATTAAAGAGAACTTCAGGTGGAATATATTGCTACTGAAGTTGGTAGATTCAGTAAAACTCTAAAAATGTAGAGTTACTGATAAAAGAATAAACAGAAAGCATCTGTAACATCTTGGTTCGGTCTCACCTTAAAGTGCAGTAGCCTCTAGATGTTAACTTTGTGTTTTTTCCATTAATTTCAATGGGAGGAAGATCAAGTCCATGTGCTGTGCTTGAGAATAAGTAAAAGAGAACTAGCTCATACATCAGACTGTCTGTAGTTGTACATCCTTGGCAGTAAAAGCGTGCAGAATTACTTAAGCTCTCTTAAATTCAGACTTTTTTGAAGGAAAAAAAAAACCACAGATGCAGTCTTTTAGCAAAGTTTGTTAGAGCTATGTATTTCGTAGAGCCTGTGTCTGAGAGATCCCAGAACTGCTCTCTGTTGTGCGCAGGTTATTTGCCTGTGTGATTAACCTCCATTTCATTTAGGACATGTCCTGGCAGCCACATCTCAGCTCTAACTCCAGCCTTTCCAGGCACAAGTCTTTTTCTGGGCAGCTCTCTAGTCCCACGAGGCATGGGTTGTGCTGCTCAGGTTTGTTGCTTACCCTGGTATCAGATTTGGTTTTAGCTGTTCCGAAGGGAGATAATTTTTTCCGCTTGTGAGCATTTAATTCAATGTAATTAAATGACTGTCAAGTTGTACTTGTGTATTTGTGTTATTTTTTCCCAATGTTTTGATTATCATTCTGCAGTGAAATTGGCTTTTTAAAATTCATGACAATGATCATCCTCCAGTACAAGGGTACAGTACAGTCCAGGCATGTAGCTACTATTCAATCTGTGTATATCCAGTCTTTGTGGAGCAACTGGCTATCATAAGACAGCTTCATGAGACAACCAGTCTTATGAGCTGATTGTGCACATGTGTTTCTTCCCTTTGAAGTCTGTGATCAAGAGTTCATAGGCACCAGACAGCTTTCTTAAACCAAAGAGCCAATTGCTTAACAATAGGAGCCAGACTATTCAGAGCAAAGGGATTTAAAAAAAAAACAACCTCCTGACACTGGTGTTTTTAATGTGTGGTCTGTAGTCCCTTGGGGAGTCAGCAGCCTGTTCCTTGGGGTTTATGAAAGGTAATGAAGAAAAGGAAGTCCATTGTCAGGAGGCTTCAATCCGTTGCCCTTTGCAAGTCTGCAAATTGGAAAAGGTTGAAAGTTCCTACTCTAGAGATGTTAAACTTACCTAGGGGCCAGGCCAGACAGTGCTGGATGGTGACTTCCTTTACTCCTTCTTGAGACTCATTGAAGGGATGCTGCTTTTCAGTCTGAGACAGCTAAGCAGTCCCTTTCTCTCCTCTTTTGAAAAGAGAGCTTGCTTTTTAAACTGGACCACTCCCTTTAAAATCATCTTGGCCATGCTCATCAAAACCCACTGCTGTTAAGTGACAGGTACTAAGAAATAAACCCTCCAGAGTCAGCAATCTGGGTATTTCTACTGACAAGTCATACGTGATTGCTGGAAGTTGATTTATGTTGAGCCATTCTTTTCCCTTCTGCTTGCTTTTGCTCACAATAAATTACTATACAGAAATTAATATACACAGTATATTAATCTCAGAAATTAATATACACACTATTAATAGATTATTGTAAGTCAGTCCAATTCTGTCATTTATCTTGAAGAATAGGTGATATTTTTTGGCAACTAAATGTTACTAATATTCAGGATGTTACAATAGATTTGTATTAGAAACAGAACTAATATCTAAATGATGACATTGTGTAGTTTTTCTAATGCATTATCGGCATCAAGTCTGTGGAAAATATTAATTTTCATCAAGTATAATTAACCTTTTCAGTTTTCATCATGAGTGATTTCACTTGTGTAACCAAGAAATAATAGAGCTTCGTATGATGTTTCTATAGAGATCAGGATTTGCAGTTCTGGGAGACTATTTTGAAATGAACTTATAAGGCATTATGCATAAGATTATGAACTGGCAGTGACAGGTCTTTAGACTTCCTTTTCAAAATAGAATTATATTTTCTTTTAGAATCTATAGAGCTTGATTGTGAGGCTATTTGACCAGTTACTATTTATTTCAAGCACTTAAAAGAAATAAATAAAAGTGAATGTCATATGTAACATCTAGGCATTTACTTTATCACAAGACATAATATTTTATGGAATGTTAGCAGTACAGAATGACGCCCTGCTTTAGTCTGTCCATTTATAATGCTGTGCTGGATTTTAAGAGTCTCAGCTGACAAAGTGCTCATATAGCAAAAGTCAGGAGTTTTTTCTTGCACCAACAGCTATTTTTTTTTTCCCTGTTGTCCTTGCACACCTAATTAAGTTCTCTGAAAGGAGTATTTTGTCATGCAAGGACAAAATACCGCATGAAAATTATTAATTGCTTCATTTAAATATGTGGGTAACAATTACGATAACTAAATCCCGCACTCTTTATTAGGGCGAAATGATGCTCCAAATGATGAGTGAATTTTAATTGCAGTCTTACATTACTAAAATATATTTGCTTTTCCCGTCATTGAAATAACGTGCTCAGTAGACTGGTTAAAACAAACAAATAAAACATTATATCCAGTTTGTGCTTTTTCTGAGGTTGGCAAAGTAAATTAAATGCAAATGAATTTAGTTGCTTTTAAACTCCTATTAGGGTTTAAAGGGCAGGCCGTGTACACTCCATGAGTTTTGTGGGAGCTGTCATACTGACAGCTTTGCCAACAGTGAGAGGAGGCAGTGCTGGAAGCCAGAGCACCTCATGAAGATGTGCAGCCCAGGTTTGGCCTCTGCTGCCTGCGTGCCACCAACGGAGAAAATGTTCTTCCTGGTGCAGTGTAAACATTCACTGTCCTTATCTGAAAAAGGACATACCATTCACTCTCACTAGTGCAGCCTCTATAAATGTTAAATGGATCCAAAAAATGTCTTTTGTAAAACGTGGTTTATAGTTGTAAAATTTCATTTGCATATGAGACACTAACAGTAGTGGGATTTACTTCCCAGTAAAGATTGTGTCTAGTAAACTGTGTAGATCAAGAGGAATATTCTTTCTGCGTCCAAGTTCAAATTTATCATCAGAGCATTTGATTAAAATTCTGCTTGGCAAAGAGTGACTTTCCCCTTTGTATATCCCTTCTGCTCATGGCAGCTCTAGTGTTGTATCTCTGAAGTTTTACTTTATCCCCAGGAAAGATAAACTTGGGCTTTTATGTGGTGTTTCAGTGATTTGATTACTATTAACATAAAAAATTACTTTCAAAATATGTGTGTAAAAAGTTTGCCATAAACTAAGATATCGTGACATCCTCCATACCATTGTTTTAAACATTTATTTTGCAAGTTCCATTGTGGATTATTAGCAGACAGGGCCATGACTATATTCTCTCTTGCACTTATGTATCTGAGCAAGAAGGAAATGTTTGCATTTCAGAAAAAGAGCCTGAAGTGAGATCAGAATGAATGTCCAGTCATAGCATACACAGAAGATTGTGTGTTTTACAGACAAGATTATAGTGTCTTTGAAATTCAAATGGTTGCCTACTTTCAGCTAAATGATGAGATAAGGAAAACTTGTAAATTGCAGTACTAGGCCTTTGTTAGTTAGAAAATATGTATTTTAGGCAAACCTGTTAGCTCCTTAAAATGTCTTCCTAGAAGTTTTCTCCCTAGAATTTATAACAGAAAACTTTTTTCAGAGATACGTCAGAAAACCATAAGAAAATCCAATGTTTATTTCGTTTTTATGCTTACATTGCGAGGAAACCAAACCATGATAAGCGTTTTTATAGACAGTCTTTGAAGAATAGGTCCAGCTCATCCTATTTTAAATTGTGATTTTGGAAAATATTACAGACAGAGGCTTAGCTTTTATTATTATTATTATTATTATTATTATCATTATCATTATCATTATCATTATTATTATTATTTTCCAGTGTAAATGTACATTGTACATCATGTTAAATATTATGTAGATATTCTGGCAATTTCCTTAACTGTGATGTAAACTTCTCTGCTTCTGTCCATTTCAAAGGTTTCCAATAATAGGTCAATTAGGCTTTGACGGCATTGAAGGCAATGGTTTCTGATACCGACCTACTATCTTAGAATAGACCTTACTCTCTTGCTCTGGACAGCACTGTAAAGCAAACAGGCTATAAGAGTTCCAGTCACTTGAACATGAAGAAGAGCTGCCTTTGGCAGTCAGACTGTATGAAGTGTTTTCCAGCCTCTCTCAGGACTCGGTACATCACTGGTGAAATTAAAAGCCCAGTAACTTGCCAGCTAATGCAGTCCCATAAAATGTAGTGGGAATTAGGTGAGATTCTTTTGCAATCAACATGCATTACCCCAACTTAGATTCCACTCTCAACAAGGCATAACTCAATGATTCGAGTGTATTTCAAAGTAAATGGGCAGCAGATGAAATCCCCACCACCTCCAAAATACAGAAGTTCTTCGTTGCAAGCCAAAGAAACTGACATTTTTTCAGTTCCCCACATGTGGCTACAGTCCAAGACTTTCTCTGAGGCACTTCCAGCTGCCATTTTTAGAAAGCCAAAAATGCTTTTTTGGTACAGGATGATGGTAGTAAAATAAGCAATACCTCGGGCCCCAAATGGATGCTTAACATTTTAAACTATGCTTAGAGTGAGACTGAGACATGCTTTTATCAGAACTAGCTTTTCCACAATATACAAGGTATCCAAAATTACAAAGTAGCCTATTTCTTATTTTACATTAAAAGTCAGTATATCAGAAATATGCCTGCTGAAGCAGAGCATGCTTGTTAGGATATCATCTGTACTGGACGCACTCCTTATTCTTTAGCATAAGCAATAAAGAGTAGGCATACACGTCCTTCCTGGCTATTAAAGTCCTAGACTTGTTCAAGAACAAATTCGGTGAGATTTTGCCCAAATGAGGCCTGACGCATCAGGCTTGTAGTTTTTATGGCATAATAGTAAACTGGTTATATTAGCCTGTTCATAGAGCTGGGGTAAGGAGTCTGAACAGACTGCTGTTCTGACTGTTATAAGGATACATGCTATCTTGTAAAACATGAGGCAGTAAAAACCAAGTCCTGCAATAGCTCTGCAGGGCCCTAAAAGCTCTAAATTGGCCTGTTACAACTTCCAATTCAGTACAGTAGGCAAATCTGTTTTACGGTTTTTAAATAAAATTGTAGTCTTCATTTTTCTTGTTGTACTACAGGCAATGGACAAAGTGGTACAAAGCCATATAATGAAATGTCGTACACTCAGCATGTCTAGTACTTGATTTACAGTGCAAAGCTATAGGAGCTGTAATGATTTAGATTTCTTGTTAATCAACAGATTTTTAGTTGATTGAAAATGAATGGCTGTGCAGGCATTTGCCAGGCTATAAATATTCAATATGCCACTGCTTTCCAGGTGATTTGTCATTTTACATCAAACACCTCTTGCTGATGTTTCTTAGGGTGTGGTTTTAATCTGATAATTTCTTTTCCCAAAAGCAGGAACAAGAGACAAGCTATACTATTCTGAGAGCCAAAAGCACTAATGTTACTATCAGCGGCCTCAAACCTGATACCACCTACGTCTTCCAAATTCGAGCCCGAACTGCAGCAGGATATGGGACAAGCAGCCGCAAGTTTGAATTTGAAACCAGTCCAGATTGTATGTATTTGTTCAAATGGCTTAAATTGACTACGTGGGCAATTTCTGACTGATTTGAGTGGCTGTTTTCATTCCCTTTCTAGTTCAGTTGGTGCAATTCATTACTATTTATTATGGGTCTTTCTGGATAGCACTACTACATAACTTTTATGTTTTATCATTAAAATTGAAATGTGCTTTAAAGAATGTACAGGAATACCACGTGTTATTTTCTTCCGTTGCATACCCTACCACTGCCTAGTGCCAGAATCAGTATCTTGCTAGACTGCAACTCATACCAAGAGAGTCTGGTGCATTTCTATATTCACAGCTTGTGGCATGAATCCCGTGGACTTTAAACACTGTGCCCCAAATGAGCTAATATTATATAAGCCTGTTACTCCTGGGGGTCAAAATGTAATTCTCCACATTGCTGCAGAGGAGAGCTGATGTTTCTTATACAGCCTTGAGGTGAAACTAATGCCCACTGGCCAGAAAAGTGGTTGCTCAGTTAAATAGCTGGTAAGGGAATCTGTAGTCTGACTCCCTTCCCTCATGTCACTAGATTTCTGGGTGACCTGAGGGAAGTTATTTACTTACCTTTTTCTCTAATGCACAGATAATAACACTTACTTGCTTACCTGATGACCTTGTCAGTATTCTTTACAAGTTCTGTTTTTACATCAGAAAGACTAATGGAGCTCATCATCCTGAATAGTATGTTCTGACCTCTTGGTACTACGTACTAAATCAGACCTTTTCTTTGCTGGAAGGTGAAAGTAGCTTAATACACCAAAAAGTCCACCTTAGTTCAGTTAACCACTTACTGATCTAGCCTGGTGCGGTGTAATTAAAGACTGCTTACCTTTTAAAAGGTGAGTAAAATCACAGAAGATTTTTACCTGCTGTTCAGAGTTGTAAAACAATTTAACACTGTAATTCTGATATGGGTTCATGAGGTTTATTCATGTACTCATCATAATGATTGAGAACCCATGATATGATAAATATTCTGCTAAAATAACAAACTTCTACCAAGAAGAGTAGCGTAAGTAAATCCAGTGGTCTTTCACTATGTATGTATGCAGCATCTATGTATTTCTGAGGTATGCTAAGTACTTCATCCCCACTTGCTCCTTTCCAGCTTCAGCTTTTTGGAAATCAAACGTGCAATTTGTTTAAAGAAAAAAGTACTATTGCAAATTACCATTATGGTGTACATGCATCTTTGGCATAATGAATGAAACTCTAATGGGACAGAGGAGTACAGAAAGGAGAAAAAAAATCAGTTATGATTATAAAAGATTTCATAACTTGGAAACTGATGAGCTTTCTTTGCAAAGTAATTTTAAAAAAGAAGTTAAAAAAAAATTAGCAGAAAATGTGGAAGATGACAAGAGATAGCATAAAGAGTGTACAGATTATCCAGATAAACACTGAATCACGTTTCTTGATTGCTATTGTCATGTTATAACAACACAAGTGCACTTGTAGGCATAAAATAGGTGGAGGCTTCTTCCAGACAGTCACGTAGACTTACTGCCCAGTTTGTGGGGAGCAGGAGGTCTCTGTTCAAGCTCACTTTGGACGACTAACATGAAGCATTGTGGTGAGGAACCTAATTCTGCTGTAGTCGATGAAGATCAATAAGTGTTTGCTGAAGATGTTTGTTTGAGTTGGAAGGGTCCTTAGAATGGTGACCTTTAGATGGGTAATCATACATAAGATCCAAAGATGTCCTGTTGTTATATGGCAATACCCAAGCACCTGGCTTAGGCACTGCAGAGAAGTGTCCAAAGTGAGGCGGAAAGAAGCCTTTCTTTTTTTCCAATGAATACTAACTTACATAATCCTTCCATCTGTTTCTGTGGGCCAAGACTTTTCACAACCTTCACAGCGATACTGTATGGCTTCATTGTGAAGCCTAATTCATTAAAGCACTTTCCATCACACAGAAGTGAGAATAAGGTTCAGGATTATTGACTAGCTGGGATTTCTTTTCAAGGAAAAATTTCATACTGACTGTAACAAACTGTTTAAATGTCATGAAACACATATGTTTGTAATCACATATATATATTTATATGCAAGGATCAATTTAACAGCTATTACTACAATCGGCAAGAGTAACAATCAGCTGTAGAAGCAACAACAACTGTAAATTTTCAGGAAGTCAAGAGTCTTTCATTTACTTCTCTTTTATTTATTTGTCTGATGAAAAATTACCTAACAGATTAAATATTTGGCATGAAACCAAACGCTATTTAGTGACAATTCAGTCTGTCTGTTCCCTATATGAGTGGTCAGTCGTGTTGTACTAATTAATGTTTTGTGTGGGGTGGTTATTTATATATTTTTGTGTTAACTTTCCAGCATTCTCCATTTCCAGTGAAAATAGCCAGGTTGTTATGATTGCCATTTCAGCTGCAGTTGCCATCATTCTCCTCACGGTTGTTGTGTACGTCTTGATTGGGAGGTTAGTTTGTGCTCTGTTTTGCACATTTGCTTCTTCTTCCATTTCCCTGTGGGACCTTGATGAGCGTGGCAAATCGAGCATCATCAGGCAGTAGCATGGCTGTTTTGTACCTTCTCCTTTGTCTGCTTCCAGAGAGCTCTGAGCTGCTTGGTAATGAGCCCGCTAACATTCACAGCCCCAATCTTGCAGCAGTTGTTAAAAAAAGCTATAAACACATTCTTAGGCAATTGTAAAATTAAACTGTAGGGGTCAAAAATCAACAAATCTTCTCATTAGTCAATTTCCTCAAATTCCCTGAGAACATAACATGCCTCTATAGGATAGAGAGAATGTAAATATCATTAAATTTTCAAACAGGCCTTTAATTGTGAAGGAAAAACATTCAATTCTGTTTCCACCTGCAGTTCACATGTACAATTCTCTATATTCATTTTTTTTTTCTCTGTTGCTTGTAGATTCTGTGGATACAAGAAGTCTAAACATGGTACTGATGAGAAAAGACTACATTTTGGGAATGGCCATCGTAAGTCACTGAAGTCTTTTAATGCTCACAGATTTGTGGAATTCATCACCTAGATAATGCATGGTTTTCAGTTAATAAATAAATAAATAAATGAATAAATAAATAAATAAGCCATACCTGACTTAAACTGAGGTGAAATTGGGAAGAGAATTCTATTCTCTTATGGGTAAGCAGATTTTCCCCTAACAAACAGTCTTTGTCTCAGTTTTATTCATTTATGTTCAGGTCAGTAATAAGCAAAACATTGATGTGTTCAAATAAGGCATGTGGTTATCAATATGATATTGATTCTGCTGTGCAATAGTGAAATACAGTGTGACTTCAATTTCTTCCTTATCAACTGTATAACATCTAAGCAATGATTTATTTTTTTTTTCTCCAAAGCAAAATACAAAATCAATGAAACAAATCTTGATGACTGCTGAAGGGACCATGAAAACTGGCTGTTTAACAGAAGTGATGCACTAACAAATTTAGTTTGGAATTATTGTAAGCATAGAATGAAAAGTAATTTGGAGTAGTTTTTAAAATTAAGAAAATAACTACTAAATGAATTTCTCCCAAATTAATAAGATTTTCTAATCCAGGTCTGTTTACAAATGTTTTGTCAGAGCCCTGATTTTCTAATTATGAGTGTTTCATTGGGTCTCACCCACAACTGGGAAGATAGCCTTTCTATCTATTTTGTGTCTTTGAGTCACAAAATAAATGTAAACAGTTAACGTACAGATGTGACATTTTTGTCATCCTGAGGAATCAGAGCTACTGTTGATCTTTCTCTCAAAGACCAATCCAAGCTCATCCAGTTTTGATATTTTTATACCTATTTTTCATGAGGTTACATGGCCTATCGTTCCTGGATCATTTAGCTGTGTCCTGAGAAAGAAGCAGTATGGAGCAAGGTCCCATCCGGGAGATAAATGCTGCAGGAGTTGATTTTCTGGTCCCAGGAGTGATTTGTTGCTACCAGAAAGGAGACACTTACGATGGCCATAGCTGGCTGGGGAGATTCTTCTGCTGTATGTCAGTTTCTCTGAGCCTCGGTTCACATGGTGAATAACCTGGCAGGGTTCTACCAAAGCAGAGGAATTCCAAACAATGAAAGATAGGTCATAATCAAACTTCTACCATACTCTCTTTAAAGCAGGAATAAATGAATTTTGGAGAAGTTTAAGGGTAAAGAAAGTGATGGTTTAAAATTCCCAAAGAGGAGTGGAGAAGGTTTCAGAAATTTTTATCACTGCATTTTTTCTTTCTTTTACAGAGAGCATAAATATCATTCATAAAGACCAAAATTGGATGCTCCCTTTTTTCCCCACTGAATTCTTGATGTTGAATGAGCATGCTTTTAGTGAGAAGCAGCAGTCTTTTGAAACTGCTTCAGCTCCAGATAAATACCCTGCTATACCTTATAAACCATGTAGAACCATGTATTTCTATTGTTTGGCATGCTGTAAGGTTAATGTGGTTTACACTTAATCATTTTACTTCTGTTCTTATCCTTTTGCACACAGTGACACTGTACCATCCTCAAGAAGAGAGTTATTGGTATCCGTATGTCACTCCTCTCAAATACACCTCCTCACCAAATATAATTGAATTAACATTTTAATGAGGGATTTACTGGCAGTAGTTGGAAATTAGGACTGCTTTCTAATCCCAGTGGCAATGGAGTAACTGTTCTTTGACTGTTCGTATTATTATTTTAAGTTTGGAGCTCTTCTTTATCTCCAGAGAGCTGTATCCACAAACATGTGTGCTCCTTCCCTACATTGTTAAGGGATATGCAAACTGTAGCAATGGGTTTGCATCGTGCAGCCCATCAACAGCTAACCAACTAGCCTGCAAAAAAATCTATATGAGTACATGTGGCCCATAGAATTAATGCTTCATCATCCAAATTTAATGAGGTTATAAAATAAAAGCAGCCAGTAAAAAAAGTGTTGCAGACAAATAACAGGTCAGAGTTTGCTCTCCTTACTCCCACACAATGGAGAGTTGCAATCGCTATTCTTAAGCATGTCAGTGTGGTTAAATTCCTGTGGATTAAATTGCTTTTAATTTGGCTTTAGATATTTATGTACTGCTTTCTGAGGAGTGCCATGCTAATCCACGCTGTAGTCAGTACAGAGGTGATCGTGAATCTGATGTTTCTGTTAGAAATTCTTGAAAATTATTTACTGATTTTGCAATCGCTTTTATGTTAGGATTTGTATGCATCCACACATGTGGCTGATGAAACTTTGGTATTCTACTGAACTTGAGTCTTTCTCAAAGAATAAGAAAATAGCTCCTGTGAACTAGAAAAGGGTAAAGTAACTTCCCTGACTGTTGTAAAGTTTCAGCATCTCAAATAGAGCAGCTGGTTTATTTCAATCAGTTTATTCTGAATTACTTTAAAAAAGGCACCAGCCATGAGCTATTCCCTGCAGCCTTATTACAAATCCTATAATATTACTTCAAAGGAGCAAAAATGTGTTTCACCTCCTCAGATCCTCTCCCTTTGCCTTCTTTGGCTAGACCTTTTTTATTTTTTTGCTACCCTTAGGGCAATTCGTGCTGGTAAAATGAAAATGTAAATTATTATGTTTGCACAGAATGAGCTGTAAAGTAGTACAGCTTAACACATGTGTATGTGTTTATTATCTGTTTTTCATGACAGAACCCAGTTACTATACAAGCTGCCCTTAATTATTGGTGTGAAGGGATTATTCTCCTTGCAGTCACCATCACCTGATCTTGGGAACCTCTGGGGTCAGCATTAAAAATCTGCAGCCAAAATCCCCTCAGAGCAGAAGCTTTTAATTGTTGTTATTTTTATTGAGGGTATGAGAGAGCCTGTAATGTACATTCAGCATGGACGGAAAGGAGCATTTACAAGATTTTTAACCAACAGCAATATACAGCCAATTACTTTTTGTTTTACTTGCAAGTAATTCTGTAATCATCAGTCTCTTGAAGGAAACACACTCGGCATTTAATGCTGCACATACGCAGCCCTTCTGTTAAGAGCGTGGCTCTTAGTTTGCATTGTTTTCTAGCCAATTATTTTGGAAACTTGGTTTCATCATTTCTTTGTCAATTCTGAGGCCAATAAATCTCCATAAAATTGATGTTTTTTTTCACATACCCTTGGGATTGTTTGACAAAACAATGGCAAGTTCTAACTAATGGTGCAAAGGCACTTTTTCCCATCTACCTAACCACAATGAAATGTCTTTAACTATGCTACCAGTCAACAATTGGATGCAGTAGAATACCACCATGCTGGAAGGGCTATTCCTGGGTAGATTAAAGCAATACTTAATATCTTTTATGTGATCAACTGAGACAATTGAAATATGTGTTCAGGAGCTCAGGTTTTGTGTTAGAAGCAACAAACGTCAAGCTGGATGTACTGGCTATTTTACTTTTTGATAGAGAATGTCTTTATATTCTGAAATGAATATAGAGGGAGACACACAAGTTACTGCGTATGAATACAAGCATGGCCTTGAGCTGGGGAGGAGAAATGCTTTGCCTTCAACATCTTCATGGGGAGAAATGTTGGGAATGATAGTATGTTTCCCATTCCAGTTCTGCTGGGTTATGTGTTGTGAACAGCTTGAAAGTGCCTTTAAAATCATACAGTCGTTTGAATTAGTGCTTGATTCAGTCAAGCAGAGGAATCCTTGGCCAAGAGACTGTACAAAGGGACAAAATATAGCATAGGTACTAGGGGTAACTCAGTACTAGGTCCAAACTGTAATGCTAAGAATGACTGGCTTCCATCTTGTGTATTTGTAACAGAAGGGTAGAAAGAGGTGTACGTTTATTTATATATAATTTTCTTTTTCTTATGTATCTTGTTAGAGGAATCAGAAATGAAACAGGTTAGTACAATCCTAGGAATTTTTCAGGTTTACTGTGATATCAACCATTAATTCCAGGTCTTGCTACCTTGTAAGGGACAATATGAAGCAGCATCTAAACAGAGCAAGCCAAAAGGGTCAGGAAATATTTTATCATTTCAAAACTGGTAAACATGGCAAGTGCAATGCTTTTTGAACTTCTGTGCAATAACTGCATGAGTGTCTCTGGTTTCACTCTGTCTTAAGATTCCTGGAGACTCATCAAAAGCTATTTGATTTGAAGAAGCAATGTACTCTTTTCTTCTATTGATTATATTTCTGTTATCTCCTTTGCTTTCTTTAGGCAGATTAATTAAGTGTAAGTAACATTTTCTCTCTGAATTTCATACAGTAAAACTCCCAGGCCTGAGAACTTATGTAGATCCACATACGTATGAAGATCCCAATCAAGCTGTACATGAATTTGCCAAGGAACTAGATGCTTCTAACATATCAATTGATAAAGTCGTTGGAGCAGGTAATGACCACTAAAATACCTTTTACTGTATGTACTGTTTTGCGTCTTTGACTTTGTACTTGTGACCGGAAAGGAAATCTTTGTAGATTTGCAACTTCCTGGATCATATTTAGAGCTGACTTCAGTGGATATTAGCAGACACATCTACTTGCTTTCTGAAGAAAGCAGATAATAAGATCATTTTTCAAATGACACCCCACAGCCCACACTTGGACACAGCACTTGGGAGTAAAGAGAGACTTCAACCTCATGTATGTTTCTCTTTAAAATCTGTCAGCATAGAAATGGTATCCACTGTGAAGATGCTTTCTATATTTTTATTAAAAGGATTGGTGACTGTCATGCTTTGAGTGAAAGCACAAAACTCATTTCATACCAGTCACCACACATCCATCAGAATGCAGTGACCTTTGGCTATTAGATTGATTTTGGTCACTGCTTTGGATTTGAATTATTGATTTAGGAAGAAAGAGTAGTATGTCTGATAACCAATTGTCTGAAGCATACGGATACTGTAAATTATTGGGTTTACTGAAAGAAAACTGTTGAAATGAGCAGATTTTGTAGCGGAGGAAACATGTAGCAGAAAGTCTCATCACACTGAGTCGTCCATGTTGCTGTGCAGCATGAAGCTCTTGATGGGATGCGTGCTTGATCCTTAAAGTGAAGTGGCAGATTGTCTCATTGAGCCAGATGATCATGAAGTATTAGCTTTCCTGCTGTATTAAAGCAGTTAAGAGAGAAAGACTATTGATTTTTAATCCTTTGAAAATTACTAGTTCTTTTATTATTGATTTTTTTTTACTTCTCTCCACATTTACTATTTGAATTAAAATCATGAGATGTGAGAGAAACAGACTTCTAGTGAGAGCAAAAGATTTTCATTTGGAAAAATATGTGAAATGATGCTGCTATGCTCAGTGCACCTACTGAATAGCCCAGTAAGAGGAAACACTATTAATTCTCTCACATTGCAGCTACTCAGCTGCTTGTATGCATTGAGGTTATCTTCTGAAAAGGTAGGATTCTTGTTTCTTGTTGGTTTTAATTTTGCCCCACAAGAGTGCACTGTTCTCCATCATCTTCAGAAAAGGCATCAAAGCTTAGCTACTGTACATAATAGAGAATGAGTATGGTAATAGAGAAGGAGGGGGTTATTGAAAAGCCAAGTCCAAGAGTAGTATGTTTCTTTACAAGACTTCAAGGAGCCTTCATTCTCAAGCTTCCTTAACTTGGGTTGTCTAGAGTTTATGAATCTAGAAAGCAAATTCTAAGAAATAACAATATGTCATACTGTATGGCTCATTGTTTGGATATATCTTTAATTAAAAGTGCACACGAGAGTGAGAGATAAACCAAAATTGGCCAAGTATGAGCTCTGTAAATGGAGGAATGCCTTTCAGAGAAGCTTGAAAAAAAAATGCTCTAAATGTCCTAGAACAGCCAGGTAGTTTAAGAATAAGCATCTTTAGTCCATTCCACTCCAGTGAAAGTGACAGCAGGTTCAGCATCAAAACCTACAGATCTTCTGCATTGAAGCTGGGCTTCACTTTTGTATACATTATAAGGCCATGACTCAGATTCATGCAGCTTAAAAGCTACATATGGCATTACATTTAGCCATTCCTATTAACAGTCCCAAAAGATGCCAATAGGAAGTAAAAGAGATGGGGAGGGGGAGAGGGAATGCAGATAAAAACACTTTATGCAGTGGTGAGAGCTTCCAAAATGAGTTTGTAGCATCACTTCACACTGCCCTCATGTGCTATATGTGATAGTTCGTGTAATCAGAGCATTATGAAAGTCATGTGAAACACAGTGAGTGTCTGCTAGACTGCTTCTGCAGAAGCACTTTCTTTCCTCTCCAAAACCAGAAAGGCATTTCCCATCTCTTACTGAGTCAATGACTTCTTTGAGTGAAGGACCTAGGCTTTTTCTGCCCCTCTCTTTTACAAATGTGTGAATGAAATTTTAAAAAGATACTGATTCATTTGACTACATTAAATTATGATATAAGTAACAAGACCTTCAAGTCAGAGAAGTAATTTTGATATTCTTGGGTATTTTTCCAAATATTTTTTTCACATCCTTAGCCAGAAATCTCTGAGAAAACAGAGGGCAGCTTACACAGCTTTGAGAACATTCTCAAGTGTAATAAGAAAATTCTCTTATCCAAAAGAACCTCAAGAAAAACACAAGGGATTTTAGTGAGAGGCTAAGTGTAAGAAAATTGAGGCCAGGAGCCACATTTTCAGGTTTTTCTTTATAATAATTCCTTCTTTTAAAACAATTCACTTGTTTTTATGGATCCAGTTCAACAAACCACTTAAAAAGTATACATCCACTTGGATCACAGGAGAATACTAAGGAAAATGGTTTCTTGATTTAGAATTGACATATGATTGTACCTTGCTGAACATAGAGCACATATGTGCTTTCCTTTCAAAGTTTAAATATGCTTGTAGCATAGCACTGTGTTGGCCAAAGTACTTCAAACATTTAGGGGTTTTATTGCGAAACATTGCAGTGTCTCAGCGAGGGCATGCAGTGTATTGCCATAGTGCTGCTGAGGTTCCTGAGGCTTGTTAAATGCTCAGTTTAGCTGCCTCTCCAGCTCTGAGGGAGCTTCATGCAAACAAAAGCAGTGTAATCCCCGTACAAAACACAGCACAGTTAAGGCACCTGCCAGTTTCACAGATTCATCTTTTACTTGTCCCTTGGATCCAAAGGCATGGCCAGTGCCACTTAGTGATGCCGTAAGCAGCCTGTTTAAAAAAGTTAAGATTTCATGAATAGGGATCTTTATATCACAAATAGCCCTACTGTTAGCTTTCCACATACAAATAGACACATCAGTCTGCAAGGCAGCTTATACAGTTTTTGTGGGTGTAGCATAATTAAAAATGAGCACTTCAGAAAGTCTTAACATAAAAAGCCATCAACCTCATCTCTTAAAATCAGTGCTAGATTTTCCACCTTCCATCTCATATACAAAGCTTTTCTCCTCCTAAACAATATCTGATGAGTTGCTGTTTCTTTATATACGGATTAACCCAATCCATTTCCTACTGGGACCAAATAGAAATGATTTACAGGAAAAAAATGTAGTATAACTGCGTATCAATGTGGATGTTAGTGACATAAACTTATGTAGTATTCATATGGTCGTCTATGTGAGGAAACTGAAAGTTAGAGTAGTTGGTTTACCTGGTAAGCTTTCTCCAGATTACTCAGAGTCATTTATGAGTAGGAACTAAAGCAATGTTAATATGTTGATCTAGATTTTTTTTTCTAAAAAGGAAACTCATTTCATATTCCAGGCACCAGGAATATTAATTGCTGTGTAGGGTCTGATTTTAGTCTCCTGTAGCATCCACTGGCTTCAAGGCACTTATAGAATCTAATTAATCATTCAAGATCTAAATTATGCAGCCATGGCTAAATGGAACCATGCTGATGGACATCAGCCATAACCTTTTCCTTCTCAAAAGCCAAATAAATAGCAGATATACTATTCTAGAATGAACTGGAGGACTTATTGCCTAAACTACATACTGAAATCACAGATGCACTCTACTGACATTACCTGACCAACAGTTTTAAGGTTGTTACAGCTTTTTGGAGTGTGGAAGCACAGAAAAAAATGGAACACAAAGCTGAACATTATATTATTTATTTCAAGCCCCTTTTCCCCATTCCTTGTGTTTTAAAGTCATGCTTTTGTCTTCCTCTTTATGATGTTCTGACAGTACTGGACCGGAGTTAGCATTTGAGCTGAAGAAGTTTTTGCTGTGGGTAAAGCATACAGGTCATCTTAGTTTGCAGAGGTTGAATATTTTTAATTAAGAACTCTGAATATAATTCAGCACTCATTACTTACCAGTAATAGGTTTTACAATTCATTTTCTGAGCTGTTGCTTGTCTTATCAGCTTGAAATTACAAATAACGGTTGAAATAATGGATGTGTCCGCTATTTTAGTAGTATATTCCTGTTTATATAAAGATATACCCTGTTGATTTTTTTTAAGTGTCTAATATATTAATAGCTCAATATCATACTCAGAAGATGAAGCAGCTCAGCAACTGATAATAACATATTATGGCTTTCAGTTCTATATTTTTTTACGTAAATATAACCTGGGTTACCAACAGAGAAAGGTTGTTGCCCTTTGACACATTTGTTCAGATTCTTTTGGTTAAATTGCCTATCTGACAGAGGAACCTTAGAAAACAAAGCTGAGAAGTGACCCTTAGGAGTCATTAAGTTAATGCCCTTACCAAAAATGGATTTTGTTAGGAACTTTCCTTGATAGACGGTTATTCTTTACAATCTCCAAGATAAAAGAGTTCACAGACTCACTGTTTCTGCTGTCCAAGCATCCTTAGTGGTACATTTTTCTATGATGTAACTGACCTTTATTCTAATTTACACCTATTCTTTGTTTTGCCTCTTGTGTATAGAAAAAGAAGTCAATGCCCATCTTATTTAGAACCATCATTTTGATATGCCAAAACCATTATCATCTCTCCCTTTCCTCAGTCCTTGTTGTAAATAAATAGGCTCAGTTCCTTGAGTTAGGAACATGAGCATGCAAGCCAGATTTTTGAGATTCTGGTCATTGCTATTACTCTCTTCATCATTCGTTAACTGCAGTGTCACTAATGGGACATGAACTCTAATGCCAGCCATATGGGTGGCAAACTGATGAAAGAAGACTGCAACTTACAGATTATGCATTAGTGCATAAATAAATGGGTTGAAGGTAAAATCTAAAACATCTCCCATGTGATACAGTCTCTGAAATCAATAGTGCATGAGGATTTCAGTACAGAGATGTAAATTCATCATACTTTTCTGAATATTAAATCCACAAAAAACAACATGATTTCAATTTTCCTAAAATATAAACATTATAAAAAAAATGTTATGTATTTATTGACAGAAAATGAGTGTTGAATGCCTCCAATCCTGTAGTTTCTATAAAGACTTTCTTTTCTATTCAGTAAATTGTTTCCCATATAAAGTCATAGGGCAATTCTTGCTGTCCCCCATTTTCCTGAATGTCATCATTTCTTTGTATAGTGTTTTCTGTTTTTTCAGTTATTTTGTCATTAGAACAAGGAAGCAAACTGTTCTGAAAGTTACTTTAACCTAGATGCTCTCTGTGCACTTTATTGTATTGTAAGAAGTCTTAAGTATGGGAAGAGTTGGATTGTTGGGAATCAAAAGTCAGTTACTATTCATATTTATTTATTTATTGAGATATTGAAACTTATATTCTTGGTGTACTCATTTAAAAAAATGTAGAAATTTCTGAGTGAATTATTTTCTTCCATCAACCTGTTAACGTTTCATGCTTCTTCATTTAAATGCTAAGTAAGTTTTATTTTTTCCAGGATGTTACATAGCAATGGATAAACCATATTGTATAAAAGTAAACATTCATCAAACTTTGCTATTTTTTATTTAAGGATCTCAGGCAGTTCACAGTGGGCATAATATTCATAGTGGGCTATCATGTCCTGTAGACCCATGGTGACAGGATGTATTCATGCAATTAGGTCTATCTGAATAATGGTAGAACAAAAGTAATCTGTATGGCCTACTTTCATCGGGTCCATATGTAATCTGTAATTGGAATTTAAAAAAATTGGAATAAATAAAATAACTGGGAACCAAATTCTCTCTGGCCAAGATGAGTTTAATGTTGACAAGGAGACACAACTATTCCAATACTTTGTGTTAATTTGTTGCCCTCTTGCAGTTGTCTGAGTGCATCACCTAGGAAAGAAAATCAGAATTTTCTGGGGATGTTTATACATTCCTCTCCTCTGCAGTCATCTGAATTTTCAGTGCAAGTAGGTGACATTTTCCAGAGTAACAGCTAGAGAGCAGAAGCCTGGAAAAGTTAAGTAGTGATCTGCAGACTACCTCTGAGTTCACGTCTGCGGTCTATCAGTAGATATCACAATTTAGGGACTTTTTCTGAACACCAAGTCTTCTTAAATCCCTGTGAAATAACTACATTTAATCTTTCATCTTTTTTTCCACTTTTTTTTTTAGGGGAATTTGGAGAAGTGTGCAGTGGGCGCCTGAAGCTGCCTTCTAAAAAGGAAATTTCAGTGGCCATCAAAACTCTGAAAGCTGGCTACACGGAAAAACAGAGAAGGGATTTCCTGGGAGAAGCAAGCATCATGGGGCAGTTTGACCACCCCAACATCATCCGACTGGAGGGCGTTGTGACTAAAAGTAAGATTTAACATGAGATTATTTTTTGCATGGGAGCTGTCACCAGATAGCCTCTGGAGGTCTCTTACAACCTAAAATACTCTGTGATAGTCTTATCAATCAAAAAAGAGTAGAAGAGATGAAAACACTGACTCATCAGTGTTTATGCTCTGCAAATCCTTCCAGAGATGTTTATGTCATAAACCTGATCGAATTCACCAAATATCATCCATGAGAGATAAGAAAGGAAATGTTTGTACACTTATGCTGATGGATCCAGCAAAGAGGCAAGGATTTTGTCTGTTTTGCTGCTCTCAGGATATCAAGGACTTAAACACAGAACACTGGGTTAATAAGATAGGAAAAAAATGGGGAATATAAGTAGTCTGCTTGAAAATAGAACAGATGATGTGGTGTAAAGGAGCATTTCTAAAGAACATTGCAGCTAAGTAATAAGCTGGCAGATTTTAGGAACCAATTTAATACTTCAGGGATATAAATTACTACAAAGTGGCCAAGAGGCACTTGCAGATATAATCTATTAGAAGTCATGGAGTCTGGTATCCTAAGGTTTCCTAATTGCACTGAAGCAATACTTTCTGCCTTCAACTAAATCATTAGAATTTATCATTAGCGAAAGTTAATGAACAGCCTACCTGGCTACAGCAACTGATGCCAGTATATAAACAAGTCCACCCTTCTTCCTACGTGGTTTTCATGCAGGGAAAATACTCTGTGTGATATTCAGTATGTATCAGCATGAGGCATTTTAAATAGCCTCTAGAATTAATACTGCTTAGGTAAAAATGTCTTTAAAAATTTTAAGCTGTTGGTAATAAAATTAATTTTATTCCATTGATAATGTTTAAGTTTTTTTCTAATGCACATTTTCTAAATCTACCATTGGATTATGGGTTAGTTTTTATTTTGTTTTGTTTTAAAGCATAATTTTGTCAGTGTTAATGATAACAAAGCAATCTCTTCTGAGACAAAGAAGTAGTTAAGAACTCCATCCATACATGGTACCTCCCTGGTCAAGAAACATATTTGAAGAACCCTCTCCAGCTCCTCTTCAGCTCCACATTAAGATAGTAGTGTGTTGTAACAGGCATTCCTGAATGCTGATATTGGTCTTACCTAGCTGTCCAAAGTCAGCTGCAGTAGCCTCTTTCCAGCCTTCCAAGCAGCTCCCAAGAGTAACATGGTCTTCTCTTTACAAGCAGCTGGTGGGATCTCCTACTTGTGGTGCTGCTTTATTTAGGAGAGTTCTGGCTCTCATTCCTTGTGCTGCTGATTGGTCTCTACTTTGGGATGCAAAGACAGAAATTGTTGGTAACAGAAAATAGGCATGAAATATAGGCATGAAATGTAAGCTTGTTCTGAAAGACATAAATTCAAAGACTTCATCTACATTAAGTTTTCATTGCAAAATAACACGACGAATTTAAGGGCCAAAGTGCTGTAGTCATTGTTAAGTAGGAGATCGGTAAGACTTTGCATGAGTTATTCTTAAAAGCTGACGATAATTCAGGGTGCCCTGAAATTCTTCAGGGGAGTGGAAAAATTGTGTAGTATATTTTCTAGTTTGTGCTAGAGGACTTTACTGATAAAGCACGTCTTTACAAAGAATATCTCCTTGTCATTTCAGTGAACTGCGTGAAATGTGCAGAAGACATTTTCAGTTTAACTGAGCAGAGTACAGTTCTCACTTCTTTTTAGTAAATGGTTTTGTTGTTTCTAAGCAATCTTGATTTTCAAAGTGGGTCATTCAAGATTTCAAAAACAGAACGACACAAAAGATTTACACAGCTTACTGCGATGAAGTATATGAAATAAATTCAAATATGTTTCAAAATAAATGACAAAAAGTGTGTAAACCCCTATATGTTAGAAAGAAATACAATTATAATTCTTCCTTTAGGTATAATTCATGAAAATCTGTTTTGCTGATTTAGATAACAAAAATATTATTCTTCAACTCATACCTTGCAGTTCCTGTTACAAAAAGGTTGCTGGATCTGCCTGTATAAATTCGGGTTACTCCTGCTTTTTAATGACATTCGTTTTGTGCAGTCAAAAGAACATTTACAAACCCTTAATTTCTTGAAACAAAAGTGTCAGTACACAGCTGAGCTGATCTCTATTTGTTACATTTTGTATTTCTGTGGCACTTCAAAAAATAGTTTAATGCTCTGCACGCAGAATATTGACCATGCTTCTAAATGTGCATTACTAATTCTAACTTCTTGTGTACTTGTGTAGGAGAGCATTAGTAAGTTTATTCTTTGGCAGTATTCATATCAGACTTGCTCTCTGTCTCAAGGGTGGCTGGGAGGGTTTGCTGTCTATCACACTGAACTATGAGAGAGCAACATCCAAGTATTCCCAGCTGAAGTCAATATAAGCATCAGGGATTCAGCCTCCTCTCCAGATGGCTGGAATTGTAATACGAAGGTTGAGAAAACCGTTCTGGAAGTATTTCTGTCTGTTTTACTGGGTAAAATTAAATGGCATAAATGCAAGAAAAGATAATCCTTTATTTCTCTTTAACATCCAGTAAAGTTTCAGAGGAGTAGGAAGGTGGGTTATGTTGTTTGTTTGTTTTTTCCTTGTCTTGATTTTGTCTTGTTTTTAAACCAAACCACTATATTGTAATAGCATTTTAGCAAGTGTTCATATTTTGTAATGATAGATACTAAATCACACTCATAAGCGCTGGTTTATATACACCATTAGGAGAAAGTCTTTGAATTACTCTCTGGATCTCTCCTAATCCAGATAAGCAGGCAATGTGACCTTTCTTCATTAGCTCAAGTCTTTTGAGAGGTCTCAGAGGTGAACTCAACTTCTCATACTAAGCACTCTTCTGAAGCTGCAGTAACTGCAATCCCTACAGCAGGACTGCTTGACACAAGAAGTTCTCCAGCTGTGATGGCTGGGATCTGCCTGCCGACATGCTGGCAATGTGAAGGAGTTGCACTCACCAAATACAACTTCAGCCCCCTGCTTCAAATTGATTTCGGTTCTGAATTTTCCTTTACACCAGTCTCCCAGGCGTGCTGTAGTCAGTAATCCTAATAGCCAGCACACATGTTCTGCATAGTTTACTAATATTTTACAGCAATTTGTAGTCTGTTAGTATAATAAATTTCAGCAACACTGTTGACACAAGTTGTTATCATGTATGAACGGCTGTGCTTTGATAAATGAATGCAAAGCGTTCTTTTAAAAGAACGGTGTTGCTTCAGAGCATATGCTTCTTATTACAGACACGTTTCTAACTGGATATGAGTGAAACCCTGCACTTAGTACTTTCTTAATTTGGATGATCGAAGCAGGAAGATGCTCTCCTAGTAGGCTGAAAGATGGATCTTCTTACTGAAATTTCAATTTTCTGACGTGTCATAAAACTGAGTTTATACAGAAAACAAATTCACTTTCTCCTGGTTTCTTACTGCATGGATTATCATAGAAAGTTTTGGATAGCCACAGTAGAGCGCTGCCATATACTTTAAAGGTCCAGAAATACCTTTGGGCTAATATTACATACCCAATGTAAACAGGGTACATTTTCTGTCACTGCATATTTCCTGCAAGCAACAAGAATAAGCAAGCAACAGAAAACTTCTGGAATTTTTACATCATTCGGTCTTTTATTTGTACTATATCTTATATAATTCTAAGTCAGTGTTTTGAATGGAAAATCCGTTCTCACTAGTTAATGGATGGCAGTCAATTAACTCCCGTTAGTGTGTCTCCCACAGCATAATGCATCAGCTGCACAGCAGAAAGAAGGTGTTTTAACCACTTCGCCTATGCAGAGAGGACAAACGATTTTCTACTGAAAAGTCATTGAAGAATTCAAATCATTTCAATAATTTGAAATTAATGTTTTTCATCTTAAGAATTTCTTTTCGAAGAAAATTTTGGGAGTAAAGGATGGAAAAAAGGGTAGTTAAAATTTGCTTTGCTTTTCTCGTGGCTTTCTGGATTTTGATTATAGCAGATATATCTTCAAAATTCATCCTGCTCAATTTTAAAAGCTTCATTTTTAAAAGTTCATTTAAAAGAATTATCACCAGCTATGCCATATGAAGGCTTTTGTCATGCTTTTATGATCAGAAGCCTTTCTGTATTACATGTGAAATAACAGTTCATCTCCTTAAATAACTCCATATTCCTACCCACCTTTCTTTCTACCACAAAGAGAAAATAAACAAAGCTTTAAAAAATATTATGAAATAACAAACTGCATATGGTGGTGAAATATTACCAGGGCAGTGACTTTTGGAAACTTTGCTGTAATCACATTCATTTCTGTATTAATTTCTCTTCAGCATGTCAAAGTCGTATATAATACCTCAGTTATGTTACAGAATACCTTCATGTAAAAAGAACAGTTTCACAAACTGGTCTGAATCTGCCCAGATGAATTTGCATATACTAGAGGCTTTCCAATGGTGCAGGAGTAATACTAAAGGTAGTGTGCTGCTGCTCTCAGGTACCTCCACATCAGGAATATGTTGGCTGTGCCACTGCAGCAGAGCCCTCACCCCTCTGTTGTGCAGGGCAGACACCTGAGGCGACAAGCTGTGACTCTTCTGTAGCCCATGCCCAATTCCCTTCAGGAAGAAACATCAGCATATGTGCCTGGCAGAGCACAGCTGCATAAATGCAACTGTTTGACTCACCTGCTGGACAAGGCACAGTGTGCTGAAAATGCAGGATGCGTCACCTGCTAAAAATCATACCAGTTTTTAGCAAAGGAACTCTGTTTCTGTTGATGTTGTTGCAAACAGTTGTATTGTAGGCGCAGTGATTTTTGCATGTATCTTTTTGCTTTCTATTTTAACACTAAGATCTTCCTTGGGATTTGGTAGATTTGAATGGGTCTGAAATGCCTCTTTTTTACCAGTCATTCTGTAGTCATTTTAAATGCCTGACCACTGTAATGTATTTGCAGGTAAACCAGTTATGATTGTTACTGAATACATGGAAAATGGTTCATTGGACAGCTTCCTACGGGTGAGTGCAATAGATCATTACATTGGGCATGACCAGCTCTTGTTCTGAGCTTGTTATGAATTTGTAATCACTCTACTCTGATACATCATGAGCATCCTTAATACTTCATTATTTCCACTGGTTGTCTTCATTATGATCTGCAAGGATGTTGCATTTTGACAGCTTGCTGCCTGCCACTATTATTCCAAAAAGACGTGAAACATTTTTCGTATTATTTGCATGTCATGTCTATTAAATAAAAATAATTCTGGCACATTTAAATAAAAATTGTTTTTCTTGGGGCAAAGCTAACACTGTAATACAGTTGTGCTTGTTGGTTGGCAGCCTGTATGTCTTGCAAGTGATTTCCAAAGCAAACAGATTTGTGGAAACACTGTTGGTAAACTAGTAATGGTGAGCCAAGAGCCATTTCCCTAAATGTTAAAAGTTTAGGGAATAGCCCTTACGTGAGGGTGTTTGAAATCTTTTGCTAGCAAACTTTATTAGCCTGTTTTCTTTCCCCAGCCTTAGACATACTGCTGTTCAACTGCTGTTGATTTATCTTTGTTTTCAGTCAAAGTTGGTAGCGAGCCTAAAAAAATTTGAACACTCCCTGTGTCACCAAGATTTACATGTGGCAAAACAAGAAGTATAGCAGAAATGAAATCCCATCTGAGGGGAAACACTAGTTTAATTTTAATTTGTTAGGGCGAACTCAGCTGTTGTCTGGGAGACTGCTTTGGTTCTTCCACGGTTGAATGACATTATCCCCCAAATTCATAACACTCAACTAGACGTTTAACCCCTAAAGGGAGCAAATTGTCAACCTTAGTTTCAATATGTGCTGTATATGTTATGATGTCCATTGAAGCATGTAAAATACATATAAATAATGTGTCACTGTATCTGAATGAAATATACCTGTACCGAGAGATATATATTTTGTATAGGCTTGAAATCCTTGAAGAAAGCTCTGAGGAAAGAAAAATATTTTCTGGCTGTAGAAAACAGTTGTTTAGCTTGTTCATTCATTTGGGTGTGATTTTTTTATTTATTTTTTTCTTTTAGTGTGGTTGCATGGAAACATAGAATAAGAACATTTTGACTCATATCACAAGCAACCCAGGTCATATATCCCATTTTACAAATGCTTCTTAAAGGAAGTTATCTTGCCTTTCTTATTGCCATTGGAAGGCTATCTCAGGATCTCATTCCTTTCATAGTTAGAAACTTTCTTGTGATTTCTAGCTGAATCTTTTCTAGGGTCTACATAGATGCCCTCCCAGTAGGCTCTAGTTAAAGAAGGTTTTATAGTAGGGAACTGCCAAGAGGCTTTAATAATAATAATAAATTCCTTCATGAAAGGGAATTCCGAGAGGCTCTTTAAGCATCCTCTGTGCCATATCTTAATCTAATGTTTACAGCGTTAATGTTGCCCCTAAGTATATTAATCAGAAATGAAATGACTACAGTCAGGCTAATTTGTGTGAGCTCATCACACGTGGCAGAGCCAACTCCAGTATATTTAATAAAGTTCTGGAAGAAGCAGCAGGAAGAGCTGGAGAGCTGCCCATGATGATACATTTATGGCACTAGGGGATTCATTTGAGAGCTGTTGTAGGACATACTGTTATCCTGTTGTCTACGTATCTGTATATCAATATCAAAGCTCAGTGTTAACAAATAGCATTAGTAAGAGCCGAGAGATTTAAAACATGTGTCTAGAAGTAGACAATTAGAAATCTATACAACTATCATTTTCTAGGCCACAGTGTGCTTGAGCAATTTTGTATTCATGAACTTGAGGAAAATTTGGAGAAATGAGTTCTAATCTGGGAGGCATTTGAAACTCACTGAATCGGGACAGCATTTATTGCAGCTAAAAAAAATAATACTTACATAATAGAAAACTCATTAGTCTATTGGGTAAGGCGGGGATTTTCACTACCAGTTCCCTTTCAGTGAAGCTAGACATCTGTTTCTCTAATTTCTTGACACTCCAGACTCAGGGGCATGCACAACTTAGATTTATTTGCCACTTTTATACAGGGCCCATAAAGGAAATTAAAAATCTGATGAGAACAAGAAGAGGGTAAACTGAATTTTTATCTGAATGGAAAATCTGTCTCTTTTCTCTCAGCTGATGGGCAGATTATTCTCTACAGATCAAAGTAGTGCCATGTGTGGCATTTAACTTTTGATCTCTGACTAATGAGCTCTTTGCCTAAGGAATTTCCAGAATCTTAATCAAAATCTTACATGTGGAGGTGCACTAACAATCTCTGAAATGACATTTCAAATGTTTTCCAGAAACACGATGCCCAGTTCACAGTCATTCAGCTAGTAGGCATGCTTCGTGGGATTGCATCTGGCATGAAATATTTGTCAGATATGGGTTACGTCCACCGTGATCTAGCTGCTCGTAACATACTCATCAATAGTAACTTGGTATGCAAAGTCTCAGATTTTGGTCTTTCCCGCGTATTGGAAGATGATCCAGAAGCTGCTTACACGACAAGGGTGAGTTTTATCCTTTTAAAATTACACTGTTTATTATGATAAAGTTGGTCTGAAAGCTGAGGAAGTCCCTGAAGCTTATATTCTTTGCTGCAGAGGCTCTCCAATCTTCCTTAGCCGCAGGTGTTCAAGAAACGATAAGCTCATCACAGCTTTGTTTTTACTTAAGTCTCAGAAAAGACAAAAGGCAAGAAAACATCCTGTTGGTAGATTAATTTCCTTGCAGTGTGAAAAATTCATGGCTAGGTTTCTTTTTGCTGTATATATCAAGGAATGAATACCACAACTAGGGCCTAACGTAGTTCGGTACATAGTGATGTAAGACTTGATGCATGAAGGTTTTGTCACACTGGTTATTCAACTCTTAAACAGTTTTTTTAAAAAAAAAACACTCAGAAATAAAAAATCTTTTTATCTTTATGTTTTTATACCTTACAGTATGATGCTCTTTATGTCTTGATTGGAGCTGAGATCGCTGTTGTATAAAGGGCACATCACTCATACTTGCTGCTGTAGCTCTAACTGAGAAAATACTTCAGTAAAATTAAAAAGCAGTCTTCTTTAAAAGATCCTATGCTTTTTTCTTATATTGTATACACAAGGTGGTAGAGACATAATGATGTCAGTTACACTTACTTCTAACTGTTTTGTTCCATCTGAGATAGAGAAGGTTTTGTCTGATAGAGAGCTGCTCACAGGGTATTGTACTCAAGTAAAATTTATAATAAAGCCTAGCAGCCATTTTCTCTTCACTGTACAAAACAAATTGGAGTAGAATGTATCAGCAGAATCTTGATATGGGTTTTCTAGGGTTTCCTTCATTCTTGATCACTGACAGGAACAAGCAATTATTGTGGTAGTTTAATTGAAAAACAAATAAAGGTATCCTAGCTGTTTTCTTACAATTAACATTCATATACATATAAATATGTATATATACATATTAGTATGTAAAATTATCAATCATACTTTTACAATTTATCATATATAAGGACATTGTTCTTTACTTGACCCTTCTGTGCTTTCTCTGACTTCTGACGAAGTGTTGCATGCTGGTAGAAGTGTGCAATACATGCTGCTTTAGGAACTGTCTGCAGAGATCTCTCTCATGGTTAATATAAAGAGACACTAATAGGAGAAAGCAGTTTTCATGTTTAGTATAGGCGCATTCATAGTTAAATATTAATATAATGGAAGAGTTCCTTAAAAGATAATCACCTGTAGTTCAATCATAGAGGCCTGTTGCCTTGTCAAATGAAATCCCCCAGTATGTATGCTTTACAACTGAGGCAGTTAACCTCTGTTCTTTCACCACTGACTGGTGGCAGATATTCAGTCTCCTCTTGAAAGCAGCCACTCACGTGCATTGAAGTTTCTTCACTCTTCACACATATCCCTCCATTTTTTTCTTTTCTAAACATTTTTTCCAAACCTAATCATTCTTGCTGTTCTCCTTCTGGCTATTTAAACATTACACTCAAAGACTTATACAACAAATTCCCAGCACCACGCATAAGATATCTCTCTTGTTTCTTACACATACATTGTCTGTTAATATCTCCATGATGAGGACTCCTCCCATCTCTAGTACAACTTATCCTCAAGACACATGCCTTTGCCAGGCTTCAAAGGTAAGCTCTCATGTTCCAAAATTCACCTGGCATGCAAATGGATAGTTTAATATAATTTAGTAAGGGCATTTGGGGTATTCACATTAAGACCTGAAGACCTTTTTGAGTCCTAGTTAACTTATTCGAAAAATTTGTAAAGGCAGAAAAAAAAAACAAAAAACACATCCCCAGCATGCTGCATATCATAGAGCTTTATAACTGAGGTGGATTTTGGTGTAGATGGGGTACACATAAATGGCTTATATCTCCAGGTGGGCTAGGACAAACCAGGATGCTCAGTGTCAGTGTTTCCAGCCAGCGTTGCATCTAAATAGTCTGTGGCCAAGTGCAGCATTGAAATTCTTTTCTTCTCCTTTTGCCACCTATTTTCTAAGTCTAATTTCCTACTTACATTTAGATAATGAAGTGTGATGGAAAGAAACTATTTTGAGAAGTATATTCATTTGTGTTCTGTAAACTCCATCTGGCATTTATGGTGTATTTGCAAACTTCTGCAAGGAGATGCTCAGATAATTAAAACCTTCAAATACAACCTAGGACAATTGAATTTCCTTCAAAAACAGTCACTGAATGTAACTCAGCCACATATTGATTCTGAGAAAAGGACAAGGGCATTTTCTGTTTGTCTCTCTGCTCGAGTTTCCTTTGGAGTGAATTTTGTACACAGAACCAGATAGTTTGGGCAATTACATGGTTGGGCCCCAGCTTAAACAACTGAGGACCAATGAGTGTGAAAGCATTCCACAGAGTGCATTTCCCCACAGTGGATATATAGCTTCACTGTATTTAAGACCCAGACTGTTCCTGTCATACCTCCTGGTGATACTCCTGACCACTTCCCCAAGCTCTCTGTGACACTGTTCTGTGAGCAACTGGCAGAAAGGTGGGTAGTTCATGGTGCAGCTGCCTTGTATCGGCACAAGGTCTGCTCCTAGAGCATTTATGACAAAACCATGACAAAATAGTTTTTAAAATAATGACATCAGAACAAACAATAAAATGCTTTTATGGCTAAAGGATGGCAACTACTTAATAGCATTATTAGATGGCAACTACTTAAACATATATAGAACATATAAACTACTTAAACATATAGATGGCAACTACTTAAATAGCATAATTTGCAAAGAGCAAAACAAAAGCAAGTTATAGCCAATTTCCAAATTCTCAAACATTGAAGATGTATCACACTCCTAGTTTTCTGCTTAATATCAGAAGTAGCAAGCAAATGTATAGAGATACACGAGGAAATAAATCTTTTACATGTTTCACAGAATTATATAATCAATAAAGTTAGAAAAGATCTCTAAGATCATCTAGTCCAACCATCCACCTACCATGGATACTGCCCACTAAACCATGTTCCTTAGTATCACATCTAGATGTCTCGAACACCTCCAGGGACAGTGACTGCATCGCTTCCCTGAGCAGCCATTCCAGTGCCTGATCACTCTTTTAGAGAAGAAATGTTTCCTAATAGCCAACTTGCACCTCCTCTGGAGCAACTTTATGGCCATTCCCTCTCATCCTATCACAATTACATGGGAAAAGAGGCCGACCCCACCTCACCACAGCCTCCTTTCAGGCAGTTGCAGAGAGCAATAAGGTCTCTCCTGAGCCTTCCTTCCTCCGGATTGAATAATCCCAGCTCCCTCAGCTGCACCTCATAAGACTTGTGCTTCACAGCTTCACTGCACTTCTCTTTCACTTCTTCCACTCCTATTTTCCACCTGTAAAATTCAAAGCCTGAGAACAATTACATTGTTTTAATTCATTATTGCAATTCTGGATTGGCATACACCAAAAAAAACCCAGTCAGCCATTCAAGCTTTCATAACACACTAACTGGATGAATGTTATGTTGTTCTGTTCTCAGAAGCTCTGTGTGATGTTTTTGCCTAAGTGATATAATTTGTCATTTTTCAATACATAATCTATACTATATTTGCACTATTGTACAAGTGCTCTGAAGCACAGGGAAAGATCATCTTGCAAGAGAGTTGGAACTAGATGATCTCTGAGGTCCATTCCAACTTAAGCCATTCTACGATCCTATGATTCCAAGATATGAAATATGGAGAACTGGGATTAATAAGAAAACTTTCCTACCTGACAGGATCATATTTTAGCTTCTGAGTTACCGTCACTGCCTTCATACCACAGAAAGCCCTAAGTAGCCTGAGGTTTTCCTGCTTACAGAAGCAGAAGCCAGCATCTGCAGCAAATCCACTAACTGTGCTGGAGGGGATGTACTGTAATTATCTATGCACTCTGCACCTATTCGATTTTAATTGAAAGGCCAAGGCTATATTAAAGTTTTCATTGTCAAATTGAGCTTTTCTATTCTTATTATTTTTAGATGTCCGAATGACAAGTAGGTGGAACAGTATGAACTGAAGTTAAATTTAAACGATCACACATGTAGAAGGACTGTAATTATGTCTCTCAGGTGTATAGTATTTGGGTAACCAGTAGATGAGTATAGACTGTTTAAGTTTGCCCTTGGACATATCAGTGGTGTTCACAGCATTTCAGTGTATCCAGTTCCTATATTTGCATGCATAACTGACTTCTCCTTAAATGTGCATCACTCCAAAAGCATTGTGCTTTGGTGGTGTCCTGATTATATGTCCCCATATAACTGTGTCAGAGTAGAGTGGACACAGTGAGGCACCGCTCCTTGGCATGTTCTCTCTGCTGAGAACAATTCTTTCACTGCACATTGTTGCAACTGCTGCTTGACAGGAGATATCTGTCCTGCATTTCCTTGGTATACAAAAACACAGTAATACAGACTTAGTCCTCCAAAGGGTCTGTAAAAAAAAAAAAAGAAAAAAAAAACAACCCAAAACAATGACAAATTATCTTGCCTGATAAGTGTATAGAACAGAACTGGCACTCCATTATCACTTGAGAAGGAGGTAGATTCAAGAATTTCAAGGTGTTAACCAGGTTCATCTCACTCACATGAGACCATCTTGCTATGCCCCAGTAAGGTGTCCCTGAATTAATCCAAGTCCTAAGGTAATGAATTAATTCCAGGCTTTTACCTTCAGGTTTTCCTGCAATGTTGTTCTGATTTTCCTGTTAGATCCAATTATTCTTGATTTTGCTCTCCCCAAGCTTGTGGCTGAGTGGCCTGTGACAGTCATCCTGTACAAGTGATAAATCACAATGCTGGAAGGAGTACGAAGGCCTGGAAACAGGTGCCTTGTGCCAGGCTCATGAGAAATAAAATGGGGACTTTGTTGGCTTGAGATGAATTAGAATGAACAGCCAGATACTGTAGGAATCACAGTTCCATCTAGAGCGGATAAAACCTTCAGTTGCTGCTGGCTTACTAATTTCAAACCCTGAGAGAGTCTCTCTGAC